TTTTCGACCCCAGAAGTGCGGATTGGATTCCTGAGTGTCCAAGCTATGTGGTGGGGCCGTGTTGTCTACAAACGGGTGATGGCACAGATCGTCGAGAAGACGCGTGCCGAGAATGCCCACGTCAGATTTTCCTTTATTGTGCCACCACGATGGTGAACGAAGGACTGCGACTGTCCGACCATCGTCGCTTTCGAGGAGTCTACGATGATCACCTACGGTCGGCTGGCGCTCATGTGGTCCAGACACTCGTTAAGATTTTGGCAGTTGACTGGAAGTTAGATCGACTTCGCTCCAGAGGTAGACGGATGGCTGCTGACACGAATCACGTTGCTCGGTTTCAGTATGTTTCGTTTTCGCTTTATGCCCCGGCCCCAAAGTGGAGGAGCCCGCGGACCACGAACGAAGCATTTCCAACTCGGGAGGAGTCCCTTCCAGCGAGCACGGCGTCCAGACGACCATGTGATATGTGACAGACGCAAACTCCCATTAGGGACCCGACCGTCGACATAATGATGCTGTAGGAAGATGTAAGGCAACACTCCGACGGCGAAGTCGTCAAACCAGTTCGAACAATGGGGCCGTTCAGAGGGATTCAAACAGGTGGGATTTCTCTTGAAACGCCAACAGGGAGTGGCATGGTACCATGGAGTGGTACAGCAGCGGCGCGGACAGGATGCTCTTGTATTGACATGCGGGGACTGAGTGAACAGACGGAGGAAGACGAGCGCGACGATTTTCGCGGGAGCAGGCCATCGTGGCGAAGTCTTATCCTTATTACCCTTTGGCCGCAGCAAGGGAAAGGACGTCAAAGCTATTGAGAAGCCAATCGAAGGCGACACGCTAACAATGCTATGGGACGTCGCTCGAGGATGCCCACCCGAGGCAGTGACAGCGAGAGCGACGTGGGCGCAGGAGCTGGCAGAAACCGAGGTGGCGACCAGCGATGTAATGAACAAAGTAAGCCCGGAGTGGCGCGATATTTCCAGCGTGGTGGCGGAGACGGCGGCGTCGCTTGCGGGGCGAGGAACGCGCCGGAGTCTGGATTGCTGCACGTAGCCAGATACCAGACGGACGTGCTGAAGAGCAGACAGAGAGTTGCGCGGATGCACTCGCCGCCCATGGGAAGCCATGCGATGTCGAGGAACGAGCGCGCCACCAGAAGGTCAAACAAGCCGGCACACCGATCGAGAGGGAGACGAGGATCGAGGTGATCACAGCCGTCTGCGCAAAACTGAATTGGGCATGTCAGAATCACGAAGTCGGAAAAAGCACGCGTTACTTCGAAACTTGGGAATCCCTTTGCGGACGAGAGCATCACAGGCGCCCCGTTTCTCAACCCAGCAGAGCGCGTTAGAAAGAAGCGGCGGGAAGGCCGAGCTCAGCGTCAACATAGCGGAGGCCCTACCCCAGCGATAAGTAAAGTAATGAATGTCAGCGAAACCCAGTTTCGGGGAGTTCGACGAAATTCGAAGACGAGGAATGCACCCATTCCAGGAGGGGGCGAGATCGCGATAAAAGTGGCCAAAAGGGCGCCCGAGTCGACGCGCACGCGGACTTACGAGTTGGTGGTAACGACGCGGGAAGAAGCCGGCCCACCTGGCCCCCGACAGAACTGGGGCGCATCATCGCATCGCGCGCTGGCAGTGGCCCCGTGAAAACGGAAGGGATATGTCCGCGATCTCGTCAACTACAGGGGGATATGCTTGCTGACGATGCTTACGAGAGAGACTGCCAAGCTAGCAGCGCGGAGAGCGATGGAACGAACGCCTGGAGTCTAGAAACTTAGTGGCGACCGAGCAGGGGGGCTTCAGGAGAGTGCGATCGACCAGGGATGTTATCCTGATCGCTCGAGTGGCGCGCAGTATATTTGCAAGACGGGACTGCGCTCTTCGCCGGCGGCGATCAGGTTTCGAGGCATCAGAAACGCTGGAAGCGACGCGGGGAACATGGGGGCAGGAGAGGGGCTCGTTCGAGCAAGCCCGCGCGATCTTGAACTTGATCGACATTGAGAAAACCTGCCGGACGGCGCCGCGGGAACCCTTGTGGGCAGCGCCGGCAAAACATGTGCCACCCGAGAAGATGATCAGCGCATGCCGGAGACTGCACGCGGACGCAGAGTGCGCGATCTCCCTCGAGCGCCCCGCGTCAGAAGTGCACGAGTTGATGAAGGGCCTGAGAGAAGAACGCGCAAACTCATGTTCTTCATTCAGTATTTGCCACGATATTAAATCACGGAACTGGCTCGATAGCTCACAGGAGCGCCACTGAATGGGGCTCGCGGCCTGGAGACGAGCAGACGCCGAGCGGGGGAGGGGCCGACCGCGGACGGACGGATCCCTGGAGGAAGTGGATTTCTCGCGCGACGCCTCGGCATTGACGGCGCTCGCGCAGCCGCGGCGCGCGATGGGGGCGGCCCAGCGAGCGCTTGGCGAACAAGGAAAAGCGCACCCCGGAAAGCGCAAGTTCATGCTCGCGGGGGCCCGCGACGCGACGGAGCGCC